CGGAGATAACAAAATTCTGCAAGTCTCATCTAATACAATAGTCTCCTAGGACCGGTTGTTCGAACCTGTTGGTGAACTAACTAATAGTTAAATCACATATGTGTCTTTGTTTTTCCCTCAAATTAAACGAAAATAGACATGTGATTTAACTATTAGTTAGTCTACCAATAGGTTGGAACAACCGGCCCCCTAGTCATCTAATGTAAAACAATCAAGTAGATAAAAAACTGATTTAAATAATTGATTTATTAGCTTATCACTTTCTATCGGATTTCTATAACATTTAAGGGCAGCTTTAAAAAATATTTATTAATTTTATTTGTCTCAACATTTAATATGTATTAAAATGAACAAAAGTACAGCAAACGCAGTTTATTCTAGGGAAAAACAACGTAAAGACCAAATCAGAATTGCATAGGGCAATTTGGGTTAAATCCACGTGAATCTTACGTGTCTTAGATGAGAAGATTGGAGCCGTTAGCGATTAAACCGTATTAGGGCGTCTATTATGCAATATAGAGCAATTATACAAACATGCAATGTTGCAATTATATAAACATTTGCAACATCGGGACCGCAAAATTAACCGATTGCTCACGCAGAAACAAGCGAACGATCAGAAACAGGATGGAGGTGGAGGGGGGCACACTATGCATGGGGGGAAAAGATTTTAGTATGAAGGGGGGGAAACCCTCTTACAGGATTTATATATACGAGCGATCTTGCGCGGGGCCTTTTCGAGTCGCGTCGTACGACTCGTACGCTCGGCCGAACCGGTCGGTTTAAGTGGTGTCGTCACGGTCTCGTCGCGTTTTCCGCGGGAAACAACAGTTTGTTCAGGGAGAATCGTTGCGGATGCGCCGATTGTTATCAGCATAATTTGTTGCTTCTAATGGTGAGCTTGATTTTTCACGCGAAACATGAAAAAAATCATCGCGACGGTTGACAGCTACGAGTGCCTTCGAGCTGTGTCGATTTGTGTGAGCTACAATAGACATAATGTTATCACGTGGCCTGTTCGCTTTATCGTCGCTCACTATTCTTATTACATTATAGATAACGACATTAGATAAGGCAATCGACAGTGAAACATTACGCGATAATGTTCCATTTCACTGAAAAAAATCATTTAAAATTGAAAGATGAGTTGGATAATTTATATATATTAAAAAATATATATGTGAATTGGTATATATATATTTTTTATATATAAACACCGTAATTTATTCAATTTGTAGATGAATACGCAACACGATTTTCGAACGTAAATGCTTGGACGCAAAAATAATCTCGAATAATCCTAATAATATGATTATAATTGCGAGCATTACGAACCTTATTCTTTTCAATTTTGATCTAATTCTAAAGAATTACATTCCCTTTAGCTTCTTAAACTTCTATTACAATCATTCGCAACGAAACCGGAAAACTTCATGAACTCAAGATCAAGTTCAAGGACTTCAAGCATCGAAAACCACGGGAAAATTCAGTCGACAAAGCTTCAATTGGAGATTAAAGTCGAGATCGTCGCTCAGTGATTGCATTTATCAACAAGCTGGATTCCCTGCACGGTGCCGAGTCTGTGGTCGAAAGTGTTTGCTCACCGGGATGATAACAACGTGATTTTAGATGTAATAGGGATCGAGAAATTCTTCAGATCATTTTATTCTTCCAAATTCAATCGGATCGATCGATCGATAACGATATAGTGGTATGGTTCATGATTTTATCTCGAGTAACATTTTTTTTTAATCAGGCTTGAATATGTAATACAATAGTAACAACAAATTTTTTAAATCTAATTATCAAATGAGAAATTTTTAATTAATTTTTATGGAAGTATTTATAGGATTTTTTTTACCATGGACTATTTAAATAAGAAAAATAACACTTGAAAAATTTATAAACACGCTTTAAATAGATAGAAACAATTTTTTTTCCTTTTTCTTCTAAATGTCTTTCAAATGATATTACTTTGAAAATTAATAGCTAACGCAATGAAAGCGACAAGATTTAGTCACTGTCGTTCAAAGTCACTCAAAGAATTTTTTCCGTCAATGAATGAAAATTTTTAACGTGGGCTCCCTCTCTCGATTTCTGATTACGAGCATGTATATTTCAGCGGCCTTTAATAAAAAGCTTCTCGTTACAGACGATCTCGTGAAGTCGGTTGTAACGCGCAGAGATTGGATGTCTCTGCACCTCTCGATGGGTAGATTTTAACTGTCGCGGCTCAGAGTGAAATTTGACAGGTGAGTGAACGCTGCGGCGCAAACTTTTATCGGTAAATCAAGGACAGTACCGGCGGGATGCATCGTAATAATCGTGATTGCTCGTGAAACCAGCTGAAATAACGCTACGGATAATGAACGGCGCGTCGGAGATAATGCCGGAAATATATAAACCGCAGCAAAGTGTAGTGAATTACTACGTTTGATCTAAAGAACTACCCACACCTAATCTGTAACTATTGCGCTGCTACCTCGTAACACATACACGGAAAGAACGGTTTTGCTGAAGTATCTAAACATTTAGCTAAGATACAGATCTGAAAATAAATTTTGTTGCACCATCAAAATAATTATGTAGAACACTCAAACTGATTGCTAAAATGTCAAAACTTTTTACAGCATTATTATCATACTTCAACGACCTGCTATAATTATTTTGATGGTGCAACATAATTATTTTCAGATCTGTATCTTGCTAAATTTTTGGATACTTCAGCAAAACCGCTCTTTCCGTGTATACACACGCACATACATATGCGGTTTTTCTTTTTAGATTCAATACAGTTGCAGCAAACTTTGATGTGCCTTTTATTGTTTTATTTTATTCGCTATTTACGATATTATTTATATGTATTGTGGATTATACGTATAAGTCTCTCTCGCGTGTTCGTTGAAGAGGAAACGCGAAAAGGAACGTTGAAGAATCGTTAAATCATCTCCGTTTGGGGGGAGAGAATGCGCGGCGAGAATTTTGCACCGCATGAATTTACGACAAAGCGATCCGTTATTTCTGTCGATCGCACAATGATTTAATTTTCGCGAAACTAGCCGTGAAATCAAAATCGATCAGCGGCAAAGGGGAAAGGGGGACCCATCACTCGGTGTCGCGCGATCGACCATCGGCAAACGTGTAGTTATTCGGAACCAGGAAAAACGAGGGCATTGAATGCGGTTGCAAATAGGCCGTAAGTCATTGGCACAAAATACACACACGTATTTTGCACATATACAATAAAACGCGCGCCGCTTTCGTAAATCGCGAGAATTCCTCATTCAGCGATTTCTGTACGCGCGATCCTTGTCGTAAATATTCGTAACATGATTATCGAAAGAATTGAGCGACGTGTCTCGACGTTAATAAATTAACTGTCAATCGATTTTTAAATAATATCTTCCTCGTGTGATACAATTAAAATATTTCCAAGTATATGTATGTATAACCTATATAAGAGAGATCGTATTCTATGATATATTTTTGAATGTTTATGAAAGTTAATTACTTTAAATTATTTATATTAATTGGGAGATAATTTTAAAATCTGTAACTGTTATATTTTTACAAAAGTATTTGACATCTGATTGTATGATAAAATACATAATAAAGCTTGAATAAAATATGTATTATAAATTATAGAATTTTACGGTAAAATAATATTTTTTAAATAATGTCCAATATTTTAATAAAAAATACAGTGTATTTAGGAATCAAATTGTAATTAAAGAAAAATCTTTTGCACAATGCACACACGTTAATTTTCATTTAAAAATAGCTTAAAAAATAATATGTAATAAATGTATAATTTTATATAATTATATAAAACATTTTCGAACGGAAGTGTTCGATCATTCTGTCAAGTCTCACAATCGCATCGCTGAATCGAATGAAGCTTGTTATCGTTATATCTCGACCGAATATCGCGTCAATGTATTACCCAGCGACACTTGCGCTCTATATGACGAAGAAAGAAGAAATCAAATATTATCGCGAATCTCTATACGAGCATATCACACGTGAACAAGTTATTTAACCATGTCAATCGGTAACTCGTTATCGTCGATAAAACTGCAAAGCAAAATCTTTAATATTTAACAACACGACGTATCTTACTGGTAAAATCATTGCAAGTTGCAATTCCAAAGTTTAACGTTGACAGGTTTTTTTTTCATTTTAGCTACACGTCAGGTATTACGTTTCACTGGTACAATATCGTTGCTGTCGTATATGGCCTTTTTGAAAATGGAATAAAATGGTAAAATTTCAATGAAGCCATTTATACTATTTCGCAAAAAACTACCGAACGAACGCGTCAAATGCCACTGGAAAATAAATAATTTCGAAGGAAGGGGGCGAGAAAGGGGGCCAACAATTGTCGGCATTACCCGGCATCGCGCTGTGAACGTCACCAAGAAAGGTGCATATAAATATTGGCCAGTCGTGCCAGTCGATTAATCCGCGATCGCGTCGATATTGATATTAAAACTCAATAAACTGTGAATTATTCATGAACGCGCGCCGGATCGGGCATACGGGGCTTACGCGAGCTTTTTAACTTCTTCATACTAGATGGAACGGCGCTTTATCGACGGCCATAGAATAACGACAAAAAGCACGCGCGCGCGCGCGGGTGAGCACATCGCACACGGAATATAACGTGTTAACGACGCAAGTTGTTTTTGTTGAAAATTCCGCAAAATCGCCTACAGCGTATCGTAAACAAAACTGCGCTATCCGCAACAAATGGAAATTTCGCAATACGGATCCGATATGCGATGCACGATTCGCGGCACCGTTACGAGCCGCACCGCGCGCATTCGTATTCTATTATTAAGCAATGAGAGAGAAGATCGACCTAGCTGCATTCGCTGCAGCCTGCCCGCCACCGAGAAGGCGACTTGAATTCTCTCGAACAGTCAAGGTAAACGGACAAATAGTAACTACGGTAGCGACGATAAAAATGTTATTAGCGTTCGCAGCATTCGTTCTTGATTAGCGTAGCGTAGCGGCGCGTTATTGCGCGCGAGCTGCTGGGCATTGCGTCGCGGCAAGGAATTTTCTCGTATCGAGCCCGGGATATCGCGCGATCCTTTCAACGGAATGGAAAGACAAAATGTGCAAATTCTCTCCCGTGAAATTTTTTGCCAAAGAGAGAGAGAGAGAGAGAAGCGCTTCGGATTGAAGAGATGCCGATTCTAAATTGATCAACAAAGCTGCTCTAAAAAAAGTAACGCGACAAAAGAGGGGCTGCAAACACACTGGCAACAATGATGAGTAATAAATAATTCTCGAGGTCTTTTATTAATATTGCAAGCTTCCTTATTCCTCGGCGCCGAGGAGCACGCTGCATATTTCTCGCGTGCAACGCGCGAGATATCGGTCGGTCATGAGACAATGATCTTGTTATCGATGCACACGTGATTCACAAAGCGTGTTCCTCGTCATAAATAAGACAGTCGAGTCACGCGAGCAGTTTTCTTCGTCAGTAATCCACGCGCTCATTAGCCGGACATGTAACGATTAATATTTCTTAAATTAATCAAGATATTTAACATATTAACGATACGTGCCGTGCGCGTCACGTTGGGATAAAAATCGCCTGAATTGATAACATTTATTACTTAAGAATGATTAAGAATTAATTCAGAATATTAATTAACCTTGAAACGGTTATATCGATTTAAAATTAAAGCGATAAAACGATGATATATGTACAAGTCAGATGTGCCTTTAGGAAAATTATTCGTATACCTTATCTGAAGATGGTAGATTAGAGAGAAATACGGCTTGCTTTATCGACGAGATATTAATCGGCTTTAATTAATTTTAGAAAGATTAAAGAGAAATGATTTGACGAATTCAACTGCGGTATCGCAAATCTAATTATAT